TGTGTGTGTGTGTGTGTGTGTGTGTGTGTGTGTGTGTGTGTGTGTGTGTGTGTGTGTGTGTGTGTTTCTATCCATCCATCCGTCCCTGCATCCCTCCGGCTGTGCATTCCTTTCTCCGTACGTACGTCCCTCCCTCCCTCCACTCCCGCTTTGTGTATGTGTCTGTCGTTTGCGTCTGTGTGTGGGTGCGGGTGTTGTAACAAGGCGAGACAGGGCAGCGAGGCTGGGAGAGGGAGGGAGAGGGAGAGTACACACACACGCTCACTCAACTCGACGCAGACTCGACACGACTCAACGGACACAGACACAAAGTGGCAAAGTCGCAAAGTCGCAGTCTTGGATTCCTCCACAGTGTCCACACAATGTCGAAGCATAGTCACACTGAACACAAGCAATGAGGCTGAAAACTGGTTGCCCGTACTGGGCTTAAGTCTGGTCTTAAGTATCGGACTCAAGTTCAGTCCCGAGGGCAGAAGTGCAAATTGCCTCAGGGCTGAACTGAAAATCGAAGGTCCGAGTCTGGGCGCCAGAATGGTGGATGGCGCCGAGTTTCGAAATCCGAAAGTGCCAAAAGAGGAATTTGAGAACGGGCGCCAACTGCAGAGGGCACCAACAGTCAGGGGGCTGAGAACAGAGACCCGAAAATGAAATAGCGGCCTGGCGGGTGCTAACCCGCGGACCAGGGATCGAGCCCTGTCTGAGTCCGTAACACTATCCCCTCCCTCTGGAAGGCAACGTCCCGGTTGCCAAAGACCTGATGAACAACCGTGAAGGACGGAACGGGGCCGATCACTGGTCAGAAAAGGAAAGGGGGAGTAACAAGTAACAGGGTAATCTTACTGATGTTCTACAAGTGTGAAGGTATCAATTTTCGGGTAACAGGGTAGTTGAGGTGCTACAAGGTTGAAGTAACAGGTAACCGGGCAATAGTATTGATGTTCTACGGGGATGAGGGAATCAATGCTCCAGTAACAGGGTAATCCTATTGAGGAATTACAAGGTTGAGGGTAGCAATGTTCAAGTAACAGGGTGATCCTATTGAGGTTCTACAAGTAACAGGGCAGTCCTATTGATGTTCTACAAGGTTGAGGGCAGCGATGTTCAAGTANATGTTCAAGTAACAGGGTGATCCTATTGAGGTTCTACAAGTAACAGGGCAGTCCTATTGATGTTCTACAAGGTTGAGGGCAGCGATGTTCAAGTAACAGGGTGATCCTATTGAGGTTCTACAAGTAACAGGGCAGTCCTATTGATGTTCTACAAGGTTATACGTTGTCAGGTTTGAGAAAAAGAAAAAGAAAAATAGTTTGTTCAATGCTCAAGGGCTGGGGTGTCTGAGGAATCTGGGGAAAACAAAGTCTCAGGTCTGTAACAAAGTGTCAAAATGCGAAAAATGTCTTGAGGAAGGTCTTCGGAGGTCTTGATCAGATCCAGGATAGGTGAGAGAACCGGTCTTCAGCGATTGCAACAGGTAGTTGTCGAATTTCCAAGTTGCAGGATAGCGAAGTAGGAGTACAAGTGTCCGAAGTCCAAGTTCTGGAGTGGGTCCGGTTCATGAGCTGCAAGGAGGTCTGATCCTATAGCAAGGAAATCGCAGACTGATGCAAAGGTCCAGATCACACGTCGCTGCTCCAGTAAGTCCGCGAGTCCAGATGTCGGCCAAGGAAACAGCATGGTGGCCAAACAAGCTGCATTATCTTCATGATCATGACACAGCAGGCCATTGTCCTCGTGCGCTTGCCATTCAATTCTTTATCGCCGGCGTCACGCAGGTCCACAACCATTGGTCAAGAGAGACAGAAAGTGTGGTAGAGGACAGATGGGACGGACTTAGGCTGAGGCAAGGGTGGATCAGACAGCGAGAGATCAAGATCAAGGGTAGGGGTTAGGCTGGGTTCTTCTATGGATTGCGGGCCTCACCCACTTTTTGACCAAGGTAGGACATAAGTCTGTGCCATGGTCCTGTTGGATCGCAAGGCTCATTGCTAGGATAGGGCTCCTTTTTTGTTTTCTTTTTGTTTTCTTTTTCTTCTTTCCCTTTTTTTCTTCTTTTTGCAATGAACTTCCTAGTTCAACACCAGTGAATGCACATATTCACACTTCATGCATAAACGAGATCACACGGAGTTCACACTGAAGACCAGAGAGATTAAGACCAGATAACGCAGCTTATGAATTCCAACAAGTAACATGACTCCTGGAAAGGCGCGATACAAGAGCAATAAAAGTTCCGAGTCACCAGCGCGCAACAGCGCATGTCATAGGTATCCAATCATCCAACATGATCACCCAGGTAAGTATCGTCTTTCTCCCTGCTCTTCTCTCTCTTAGTTGTATCACCCCTCCTTGCTGGTCTTCTCCCTAGCTTCTGACCTCGCTGTATCTTCTCTCCCTACATACATGCACACTCACACTGACTTACCCTCAAAGATCTACTCTGAATACACCCACTGCTAACTCTACTAACTCTCTGAAGACTACTACTAGATACTAACACTAACACCCTGCGCTGGCGCAGCTATGGCTGCCTTCTCTCTGCCAGCTCTCTCTCTCTCTCTCTCTCTCTCTCTCTCTCTCTCTCTCTCTCTCTCTCTCTCTCTCTCTCTCTCTCTCTCTCTCTCTCTCTCTTTGCACAGCACTCTGGCTTCAGTGCTCTGCCCCTCACATTTGCGCACAAGTCCACCAGCACTTCCACACTCTTTGTGAATGAGCAATCTGCCCGAATGTGAGGCTGGCCAGTCCTTTTGTAGTCTTGGTTTGCACTTCAACTCGTGCCAGCCTCTGTTTCTTGGGTCCTAACTGGTTCCGGTACCACATCCCCACGTCCTGTCTGCTTCT